GGCCTGGGTAGGTACCACTCAACAACGCAGCTTTAACATACATTTTCCCACATCTTTGTAACTAACACACCAAATAGTGTGGGAATTAACCTGGAGCGTCACCATTAAAGTAGAGAGCCAGAGTTATGACTCCACAAAGATTTCAATGTTAAATTTTCATCGAAAGTAGAAATGTAAGACTGACTGGCTGACAGGTGAGTTACGTAAGGCGATGTGGTGAATTGCTGCCAGTTAGGTTTAGTGATTTTGTGTTTATCGTGTTAAATAAAATAGACGGAGACCTGTTACCCACGCAGCTGGTTGTTGGTCAGATGGTCCCCACTCCTTGTAATCCATAACCTCGAAATTGTGGTCTTGCCCCGTTACTGTACCATGTGAGGCTATAAATATAGACCCAGAGATATTTCACGGACTTGCTGGCAGGGAATAAGCCGAGGGGTGTGTTACTCTCTTGCTGTCTGCTCTGTTTTATCATTGTGTAATATCTGTCAGGCCGTTCACGAAACTACGTAATTTTTTGTGTGCATTTGTTTATCTTAAATCATGTTTATAAACTTTGGGATAAACTTGTATTTAACGGGCGTAAAATCGCGAGCACCGTTGTTGAGATTTGGGGAGACTGAATATTCCGAAGTATCGCTACGTTATGTAACTTGTCGTTCGCTAAATGAACCTAACCTAACCTATTTAGAATTTAGCTTCACCTTTTATGACCGACAAAATATATCATTCGGCAGTATCTGATATATAAGATTGCTAACTTTTGTTTTATGAATAGCAACTAACCCATATCGACTACATTGCTGGGGAAGCTGTTGATTCATCTCTTATTCTTTCGCTTTTTGTCTTGCTACCTTTATCGCCCACATATTCTGTTGATAAAAAGGCTCATAGAATGCACTCTTCCACGCCCTTGTGTCACGTAGAGCAGCTATAGGAGTGATTTTTTGCCCTCGACGCCAAACAGGAAACGATAGATAGAATTGGACTACCGTCATTTGTATAACTTTGTCACCTGGCATTTCCTCGTATTGCCCATTGGTAGATTATTTTGGGCGAGTTTAGTATGTATTTTGGTATGTGGTGGGTGGTGACATATATGTTGATATTAGGGAAACATGTCTTAATGTTCACTGCTTATACCTCGTGTTGCACTAGAATAAACCGTTATAGTACATCCTTCTCTCCTTACAGCCAAACTGGAATGCTCTGCCTTCTTCTGTGTTTCCATACTTATACAATCTGTCTCACTTTTTAAAGGCGGGTTTTCCGGCATCTTCGTGGTGTAGATTAACACAATATAACCTTTTTCTTCTCTTTTTTAATTTCTTTCTGTTCTTATTTTTTCGTTCGACCTGTGCCCGGGTGGACTGATTCCCTTAAAAAAAATAAAGTAAATAAATAAAAAACATTTCCTGGCTCTAAATGGATAAGTATGTTTTGTTAGTTTGCTGGGGAAATGATTTCTTCCCTCTTGTCCTCTATTTCCTTGTTCTACTGCATTACTTTTATCATTCTGATTTACTTACTGACATCCTGCACTTGACTCTGAAGAAACGTTAGAGTTAAAAAAAATACTGAGAAAGTTTTGTCTTTACATTGTTGTTCATTTTTTGATAAGAGACGATGGATATATGTGATGCATTTCTTTTGTATAAATTTGACTTTTCCTTATAATTAAGAGAATATTGAGTTGTTAGTAAGCAACTGGTAGCATTGTTAGCCATCTTGAAGACACCAGTGGTAATACAACCATAAAACAAATTATAAGATGAGCATTAAGTCATTTATCATTCTAATGGTCAAATTCAAACTTAACAAAACAACTTAATCTTAAACGTTAAAAGGCCAAGATTGGTAAGAATGAAAAAAAAAACCTTAAATTACTCTCTTACTTATGTTTATGGTTATTTATTAAAACTAAAATGTTTGAGGTAATTTATGATTAACTGGTAATGCCGTTAAGTGAGTTGCATAGTTTTATAATACTGTTTTTGATAATTTTACCGAGCGATAATTTTTGTTGCCATATTAACTATTTCATATCGTGCCATTTATATCTGGTTTAAGGACAATAAAGGCACTTCTAAGCGTATATTCGGTAATGAATGAGAACACCACTACCACCAGGACTTGTTTGATTTTGTTAATTTTTTCCACGGATGTTCTTATCACTATAGTAAGTAGTTTAAAGGGGCGACATTACTAGAACCTAATAGAACCTCCCCGTCTTCTTATGTATTAGGATATTTAATATTAAAGGTAAATAAATGGTGGCGAAGGTGTGGCTATTGGGGAGCTGGAGGCCACGTTACCAAAAAAAAAAAAAAAAAAAAGTAGTAGTAGTATTAGTAGTAGTAGTAGTATTAGTATTATTATTAGTATTATTATTATCGCCTCCCAGGCCCTGATGTGGGTCAGTGACCTGTGCCCGGGTGGGCTATCCCATAAAAAAAAATCCCGTCCGTCGTTACACGACCAATGCCCTTTCAGATTCATTCATAAACAGTGCACGGGTTACCACAGGAGGCGTAGCGTGGATAGAAGACTTTCTACATGACCGCAAGCAGTGTGTGGTGATTAATGGCACGAAATCGACATCTATACCTGTCACAAGTGGGGTACCACAGGGCAGTGTATTGGGCACGATGTTGTGTGTTTGTTTCATAAATGACATGCCTGACGTTGTACACGCCTCCATACAAATGTTTGCCGATGACCCCAAGTTATTTCGGGAAATCAAGAACCAAGTTGACTGTGAAGAGCTGCAGAAGGATCTCTGTGAGCTCCAAGAATGGTCAAAGAAGTGGCTGCTGAGATTCAATGTCACGAAGTGTAAGAGGATGCACCTGGGGCGTACCAACGGTAAGGAGGCGTATCATATGTCCCAACGGGATGAAGAAACTGCACTAGTTGAGACTGTATGTGAGAAGGACCTAGGTGTGTATGTTGACAATGAGCTGAAGTTCTCGGGCTTTGCGAGAAGAAGGTAAATCAGGCAAATAAATTATTGAGTCTTATATGAAGGTCGTTCAGATATCTAGACGGTCCATCCCTCGTAACGAGCTTCAGGAGTGAAGTGCTTCCCCATCTGGAGTACTGTCACCCCGTCTGGTCCCCGAGATATGCTACGGACTGTCAGTTGGTTGAAAATGTTCAAAGGAGGGCCACCAGACTGGTGCCTGCGCTTTGGCACCTCAGCTACCCTGAGAGATTGGAGCACCTGAACTTGCCTACCTTATACCACAGACGGGCAAGGGGGGACCTAGTTGAGGTGTACATGTATAAGCATCTCAGAGGGCACTACTCTGTTGAGTGTCCTTACTTGGAGCTGGCGGACGCTCGCCCCACAAGGGGTCACAGCTCAAGATTGAAGAAACCGCAAGTCCAGAAAACTGTGAGGGCAAACTTTTTCGGAGTGAGGGTTGTAAACTCTTGGAACAATCTACCAGAGAGTTTTGTGACGGCACCGAGTGTGAGTTCTTTTAAGACAAGACTTGACCAACATTGGAGTGGGTTCAGGTACATTCAGGAGCCGGTGCATGCCCAGTACTTGCCAACAGTGCGTGACAGAGACGTGACCGATCGCCCAAGCGGCTAACAAGCCGATCAGTGGCGAAGAGGATAAAAGTAAAAGTAGAAACACATTTCTGCAGCTGTAAATATGAGAGCAACTTCGTTGGAACGTCATGATATAATTTTACGTTTTTGTGGACTTGAGAGTGCAGTGAAGACGGCATGTGGTGACGGCTTATTTTTGGGAGGAGTATTACGGTAAATAATTATTTTCTTCGTCTACAAAGCACAGAGACATTATTTTATTGTCATATGACAAGTTTTTTCACCTTGTTTTATCCCGCATTTTCCCTTCATCCTGCCCAATGCAGATGATTTATGATCGTAGATAGTGTAACTAAAAAAAAATTCTTCTAAAAAATAAAAAATTTTCGCCACCTTTAAAATACTTACTATAATGATAAGAACATATGTGGAAAACTGAGTGAAATCGAACAACTGGTTAATGTTTAGAATTTGCCGACACCTACTTATATATTATGGAGAAAGGGAAAATCATTTATTCTGTTGTGTATCTGCCGGAAATTTAAATGTTTTGAGTATTTTAACAATATTGGTTGGAAAGTGGGCAGGGCTTTGAAGTAGAGGGAATATGCTGGATAAAATACTAAAAAGAACACCAAACAAACCATTGAGAACCTCACCAAACCTTTCCTAACTTGTAAAAATGTTATGAATCGCTTTTGAGTTTATGTATCCCTCCTCAACAACAATGCATACTAAAAAAAAAAGAAGAAAAACACCTAAACACCAAAAACATGAATTAGATAAACTTTTTATAGTCTTAGGATTTTTCAAAGTTAGGTCAGGTTTTCATAAGTTTGTTTTGTTTTTATAAATTTTACCCCACATTTTCCTTCTATTTCAAAGCCCTGCCCACTCTGAAGTAGTAATAGTGTTGGTAATTTTATCGTTTAAAATATTCGACAAATATAAATTTCCGATGGAAATACAATAGACTAAATTATTTTTCGCTTTTTTTTCTTCTCCTTTTCCCTATATAAGACTTCGGTATAAGTAGGTGTTGGCAACTTCTAAATATTTACCGAACAACTCCTTCTCATAAATTACTGATATTCTTAACACTGAATGGCTGAGGTTAATAATAGGCTTTTCTTCGGGAGGAAAAACAAAACAAAACATGGTTTTAGACACAAGCAGCTTAATAGTGTCGATACCAATTTAGATTCATATACACTGTACTGTATTCTACTTAATCTCGTTGTCCTCAAAACAATTAATAGGTTTGTTCCTTCAGTTACTGTATTTACTCACAAGTTACTGCCTACTTATACCTTAGTCAATATGCCCATTCCATTTTTTATTTTGACCTTTTTAGGGATATTATGGGGTCAAACTTATACCGATAAGAGAAAGTATGAGTATTTTGAGTTGTTTTGTATTAATTGTAAACCTTGTTGCAGGCACTTGATGGGTTCATCATGACGGTGTCGTGTTCTGGCCGTGTGCTGTATACCTCCGAGTCCATCACCCCACTTCTAGGGCATCTACCTGTAAGTGTTCTCTACCAGCAGTTGTTTAACCCCCTTGAGTGCCATGCTAACTTAACCTACTTCCTCAAAAAACAACCCAACCAAACATAATTTTAAATACAACTAACCCTAACTAAATAATAACCAAAAGGATGCACCTGGGTCGTACCACCAGTCAGGGGCGTATCACGTGTCCCGACATGACGAAGAAACTGCATTAATTGAGACCAAATGTGAAAAGGACCTGAGTGTGTATGTTGACAATGAACTGAAGTTCTTGGGCCATTGTGAGAAGAAGGTGAATCAGGCAACGAAACTACTGTAGTAGATCTTATTTTACTTTTATCCTCTTCACCACTGATCGGCTCGTTGGCCGCTTGGGCAATCGGTCACGACTCTGTTACACACTGTTGGCAAGTACTGGGAATGCATTGGCTCCCGAAAGTATAAGAACCTGCTCTAGTACATGTCAAGTCTGGTCTTGAAACAGTTCACACTCGGTGCCGTCACAACACTCTCTGGCAGATTGTTCCAAGAGTTCACAATATTCAACCAATCTGGCCATCTTGGTTCCAATAATTTGCAAACTTTTGATATTTTGATGACCTCTTGATATCATCCACCAATTATTTATCCGTCCTTCAAATTTCCAAAATATGAGATATGTATGTATAGTACAGTATTTTCAGATCCTATGGGATATTTGCTAGGATACAGGATTCGGTTTGGAAGTACAGCACAGTAATGGAATTTATTGTACTGTATAATGATGTATACTCTATTCACCTTATTATCAAGTTCTCTAAATTATGTAATGCAGCTGTTTTTACTGTGTCTTCTCATTATAGTTTATGCTGTTATTATTGGGAACAATCACCAACAAGACTTGAATTTTGTCAAAAAAACAATTGTTCTTGTATGAATAATTTAGGAAGCCCTAGAGTACTGCCCTGATCCTCTCACTTAATGTTAATTTATTGTCCATTGTGTGGACAGGTGAGTGCTTGTGCTTGAGGTGCTTCTGTTGGATTACCTACAGGTTAGCCACCTCCCCCTTCAGCTTATTTCACCTGATGACTGTCTGTATCGCCAATGCTGGACTCTGGAGGGATTTTTTTTTATCATTGGTAATTTCTCCTCCTTGAATCAGTTCTTTAGATGATGGTTGTTAAATCTGTTAAAAATAATATTTGGAGTCCATCTTTGGTGATAAAATATATTTGAACAGGTAAGAATATGGTTAGGTACAGTAAATAACATTTTGGTTCTGAATTATTGGTAAAAGTTTTGGTGAATATTATATCTAGCATAGAGGTGTGGCAGCAAGTGCACACAGTCCTCAGAGTTGTTGATTTACAGCCTTGGCACTGCTAGTCTACCGAGCTTTGAATGGGTACAATACTATCTAATATAACACTAGAAAATGAAGTGGCCAAGTACTGTACAGTGTTGGCCACACTGCTTCCTTGTTTACCAAAATCAGGCTTAGTCTACAGTGTACAGTATCCACACTGTAACGAGCTGTCAGGCCTCTGGGACCCATCAGTACTGGGTTTAGATGCTGCCACATTAGCATCATTCATTTTGACATAACTGAGTCCTTTGATCCACAGCTTTAGGGCTTGGCATTATGTTTTTCATTGTTAGTTGCACAAGACTTGTAATTAGCTTATATCTCCTCACAATAAGGACAGTTGTTCCTCATCAGTAACATTTCACATCAGCAGGAAGGAAGTCTTCTTGGTGTAGAAAAATTTCTTAGATTTTTAACAAACAAAAATATGCCAGTGCGATAAACGTTATGAATAACATGTGAATCTCTTTTGGCTCAAACTTTCCCTTCATAAATTATGTGTACTGTATTTAATAATTGCAGCTGTCTTGCTGCAGCATCAGCAGAATTTGAAAACCGTTCTTGAAATGTGGGTTTGTTTTGTGTTTAAAAATAATTTTAAGTTTAGCTTCAAGTTTATTATTTTTTCCATTGGTAAGATCAATTAATATGAGACGATGCTTTTGTTGAAAGAAGTATGATTGCTATGACCCTGGATGGAGTGAAGGTTAATTGGGTTGCCTTTTGTAGGTTACAGTGGAACAACAACCAGCACAGTGGAGGGATTTTAGAAACATTGCTCTGGCAGTAAACCCTCTGTTGGTGGTCATGTGAGAAAACTGTACAGTGGGTGGAAGGTCAGACTAGTGTCTTGCCTTGGATGAAGTACAGTACAGTACCTACCTTACCTGTACTGTATGTGCAGACTTAACAGTGATATGGAAGAGTGAGTGTAGATGATACCGAGAATAACAAACAGAAGTAGATCAATAGGTCTCATGATAGTTGTTTGTCAGTATGGAAAAAGGAAGAAAGTGATATATATGATTGCTCTAAAAACGTTAACACACCCACACACCCATCCACACACACACACTGAGACGAGGGTTATAAACGAGGCCCATTTAAGTTTAGTTTCTCGCCTGTAGTGTTGTTCAGTGAGTTGTGGCAGCAGTAGAATACGAAGGAAGATAATAGGTAAACTTGGTGTTGTGACTGTGAGGGAGACGCACCATACAAACAAGGATATTGATTATGAAAAGACATGACACAAATCCCTCTAGAGAGTGAATGTTATTGACAGTATGAAATGACACAATGTAGATTTTTTTTTTGTAGGAGATAGAGAGTTAATTGAGGAGAAGAAATAGTGTTGCAGGAAAGATATGATGGAGCTGTACAAGACTCACCTAGTCACAAACATGAGATCTTGTTAATGAAAGGAAAACATTATCAGTATCATTAATAATTCAGTATATCGTATAAAAACCTATACTTATTCCTCAGGGTGACATATCTGGGACACCCCTGTATGACCTGATGTTAGAGGAGGAGAGAGGGGACATGAAACGATTTCTCTCTAATCCTGCTTTGGCACCCAACCCCAGCACCTGGCTTGAAGACACCAAAGGTATGTACTGTACTGTGTATTAATGACTGCTTAATGATATTTTTTTAGAGCTTTACGTACATGTTACAGTAATGGTCTTGTTACTAAAGTGTTTTTATATAGTACACTCAAGTTAGGGACAGTTTATTTGTATGGTTAATTAATTCATGAGGAATAATTTCCATTTGTTTTTAATTGTACTTTGTAATTTTAGTGTGTGTGTGGGGAGGGGGGAGGGGAGAGTACATTTGGATTTGGTTACCATTAGATGTAAAAACAGAGATTAGTGCAATATGCGTAAGAGTAAAGGTTGAGTGAGAATAAGGTTGATGGTCAAGTGAAGTAATCAATCGTGTGAGTGAGGACTAAATGGGGTTTGAAGGATCCTGCCTGGCCTACCATGTTGTTTGAGGGATCCTGCCTGGCCTACCATGTTGTTTGAAGGATCCTGCCTGGTCTACCATGTTGTTTGAAGGATCCTGCCTGGCCTACCATGTTGTTTGAGGGATCCTGCCTGGCCTACCATGTTGTTTGAAGGATCCTGCCTGGTCTACCATGTTGTTTGAAGGATCCTGCCTGGCCTACCATGTTGTTTGAGGGATCCTGCCTGGCCTACCATGTTGTTTGAAGGATCCTGCCTGGCCTACCATAAAGAAAATGAAAGATTACTGTCATAAAATAGGGTAAAGACATTATTAAATTTCTATGGACTTAATGTTTACGTTTTCACTTTTCAGAAAAATATACCGTTGCGATACATCTGAAGCGGGGGATGACAAACGCTTCAGACAGCATTCATTATGAGAGAATACACCTGACGGGCTATTTTGAGCGGTACAACTGTCCAAGTGAAGGTCAGTACGTAACATTTGTATTGTAATTTTATTTTTCTTCTCATAGATCATGGTATCATATGCAGTATATTGTATTCTAGTTTATTATCATTATCTTCATCATTATATTATCATCATCATCATCATCATCATCATCATCATCATCATCATCATCATCATCATCATAATATTCCACTATAAGGTGTAGAAGAACTTTAATAATACAATGAGACCTCTATTTAATGGAAGATTGTAGTCCATTATATCAAGGTTCATTAGATGTGAAACCTCCATATAAAAGACTCTATATGAGATTACGGTCCATTATATCAAGGTCCATTAGATACGAAACCTCTATATAACGAACTATACCCCGTTAGATGGAACCTTTTCTTTACTGTGAAGCTGTTGAGAGAAACTGTTCTTTAAAGATGAGAGGACCACATATTGCTAACTCTACTGAATTGAACACCAAATGATAAACTTATAATCATTGAATCTCTTTGGGTATTATTGTGACAGTGAATCAGATGCATTTGCGTATTAATTGGATTACAAGCAACTAAGGGAGAGTCTGTGGTGCTTGTAATGCCAACCAGAGTCCACCATAGAAAAGGAGAGTACGTGGTGGTAATGGGGTGGGAGGGGAGGGGGAGGAGCTACTTATAACATGGTGGTGAATTATTATACACATGTGTCTTTGGTGTAATTATGAAAGGTAAAAGAGTCATGTAAAATCTCAAGGTAAAGAAAACTGACCCGATGGTAAAAAAAATACGCTTACTCTATGTTGATTGTTGTAACTTGAAGACTAGTATTTTTTTTTTTTACGGGATTAGCTCACCAGGGCACAGGTCACCGACCCACATCAGGGCCTGGGGGGCGAAAATATTAAAAATTAGTAATGAGAAATTATTAAAATATAATAGAATAATAATAATACTATTACAAATAATAAAGAGCCATAAATAAAAAAAATAAAAGAAGATCAAAAGTGAGAAACAATATATGTATGTTGTGTTGTCAAGGTAAGAGAAACAATTGAGACCCTGCAATTGTGTGTAAATGAGGCAGAAAGTCAGATCATCAACCTGGGACTTGGTCACATATGGCAGCAGGGTCTACCATTAGACAACACATTATGCTTCCAATATTTTCCCAGGCAGTAGTACCTCCCTGTTTGGTAGCTGCCTGCTACCTACTAAATTTGCCTTAAAACATCATTAGCAAATTGGTCTTGTTGTTGCTTATTGATTGTTATGAGAGAGGATTTAAAATGTATGGTAGAGCAGGTCACTGTTGTTTAATAATTTATAAAAAAAAATCTTTCTTAATTTGTGTATGAAGTTTATGAATCAAAGTGTCTGAATATTTCTTTTGTATATTTCCGAAATTTCTGAATCAAAGTGTCTGAGTATTTTTTTGTGATATCAGAGCTTCATATTTCTTTACAAAACATATGAACTTATATATCATGTATGGGCTGGACTTGAGATGGTAAAAACTTATTTATGATCTCTTAAGATGCCTACAGAGTTACATAGATTCTTTTATTTGCAGATGGAGTCCTTGACTTCAGTTGTAGTGAAGCAGAAGACTCTGTATCCCTCAGTAGTTGTAGTCGGAGTGCAGGCGGAGGCTTATTTCAGAGCTCCCTCGTCCACCCCCAGTTGACTCAGGAAACCACAAAGTAATTTTTTATTTATTTTATCTTTATTTATATATGAGAGAGAGATAGAGAGTGAGAGAGAGATAGAGTGAGAGAAAGATAGAGAGAGAGAGACGGGGGTGAATGCTTGAAAGAACAATCAGACACCCTGGTAATGTTGTAAGAGCAGCAGGTGTGAGCTCCATTAAGTTCAGCCTTGACCAACACTAGCACATGTTCAGTGCCTTTAAGAGTCTGTATGTGCCCAGTACAGTACACAACAGGGAGATGATCGACCCCCAGACTGACTAGTGACGTGACAGGTAAAGAACAAGATAAATAACTGCTGTAGTAAAATGCATGTGAACTTAAAGGTAGAATCTGCAGTGTTTAAAGATTTTGAACTTTAGAAAATTTAATAGGGAGATAAAATATAAGGGCAGATATGAAAATCAAAAGAAATCTTATTATACATCTATGAAGAGTAAATTTTTATGTTTCAGTATTTTCACAAATAATAAAGGAGGCAGTAGAGCTCTTTACTTACTGTATGGTTTGTAATGAGGTATGGGCGTGCGCTGACGAACGTAGTTAATGTGATAGAGATGGAATTTTTTATTGATAATTTTTCCTATAGGAGTTAAGTTGGCCATATTGTTGAAGATTTAATGAACTGATTATCCATATTTAGCTTTTTAAGGCAACCATTACAGTTCAAAGAGGTTGATTGATCGCTGTTTGTTAAATGAATTGTGTTGTCCTGTTGGCAGATTCACTGCTAATTCTTTTCTTTTCAGTGTTTAACTCTTATGCCCCGGGAGACAAAAGATCCCTACGTGGGCATATTTTGGCAAGAAAGCATTTTTTTTTAATCCATGATCGAAAACTGGTATTTCAGGTGTAAAATTAGTGCAGTCACCAACTTCACAGGCAGGGTGGGGAGGGGGAGTGAGCGTCATTGTCTGTTCCACTGTCCTCAACTCTGGCTGCCTCAACAAACTCAACATCATTTGGGTCTGTTTCCTACCCATCACGGTCTTTGTCACCTGATTCTATATCAAAGTCACTCAAATTTGGCAACTCATGATGAATAGCACTATTGTCGAGCAAACACCTTCACTTGGGTGCGGAGGAGGGAGGCAGATCACGAGACGTCAAAAGATGTGCATCCATCTTGATAGCTGGCGGGTAACTGAACCACGAGACTTGAGACAAAGATTATGCACTAGCTAAGTTGCCAAGTAATTAAAATCCTATAAAAAGTACTTCATCCCACCTGGACATTAGAAAATTAAGGACACAGAATAGTGTCACCCGTCATGACGCTATAGTGGATGTAGAGGAAGTTCACGTGGGCTTTTAAGGGTTAACATACTTCACCTTTTCAAGTTAAAATACAGGGTCTACCACTTTGTCCTCCAGAATGTTTCTTTCACTTTCAGCTCACTGGGCTGAAGGCCAAAGCATCTCATGCAATATCTGTGGCTATCTTCTGTTGTTCATTGTCCTTCAGGCTCACTGCACCTGTTGTCTGGTGTATGAGTTGTTATTTAACTGGTTCTCAAACTAATGGCTCTTCTTTGTTAAAACTTTTGTGTATATTATTGATGTGATCTATCTTAGAATTCTCTGTAGCTGACACCTGTGTGGTACTTGTGTTTTTGAAATTATAGTATTTTGAACGCTGTTAAAAATATATTTGTTTGTTTTTTGTTTTTTAGAGCCAAAGTTTAGTAGGAAAGACTATTTTTAACTTCCCCAGATCCACTGAGTCATGCATGATCTTTGGGATGATAAGGTGCAAGTGATGTCACGGCTTATTGTTGTGTACAGATGTATAGCTGTCACAGGTAGAAGTAAGATTTGTTTTATTTTTCCATATAATAACTGGGGGACGTGATCTGGAAGTAGTTGTGTACCCGATATGTTGGGATGGTGATATGTAATGGTGGATTTATCTTTTCTTGTATGTCTCATAACCCATAGTCTGTTTAACTTATGAACTGTTGAGCAGGATTTCAACAAACTTAATGTATGTCTTTCTTAACCCCTTGTATACAGCCTTCCCTCATGCCACACTACACACTGTTCCCACTTTTTATCCCTGTTCTTTATCTAGTATCAGTGGATGGTACAATTCATTCTGTGTAGTTTCCTAGTTACTGTGAGGGGAAAGTTTAATTGTGGCATTATTTCCTTGGCACAGGTTAGTATTTGTGGCGATAGCAAGAATGGAGCGGCCTCAACTTGTAAGAGAAATGATGATAATTGAACCAACCAAGACAGAGTTTACGTCTAGACACAGCCTTGAGTGGAAGTTCCTCTTTCTGGACCACAGGTAAGTCGCCATCTGGGTGATCAGTAGAACAACATCCTTCTCTCTTTATCATAGTGGAACATTAAGTTATATCAGTCACTAGTGGAGAAGTCATTTTGTACAGTATCATTGTGGCACTGAGGGTGGTAATGTTCTCTGTTATCGGTGAAAGACTATGTGGGGAGACAAGGCTTGTGTGTTTTGATTCATCACCAGTTCAGTATAAACCTAACCTAACCATGACTTTATCGCCTCCAAGATTTATGCATTATTATTTACATTTAGTAAATACATATAAGATGGTACTGTACAGTATTCAACAGACTGGTGACAAAATGTCCGTCCACTATGCTCGATACAGGGCCGTTCATCTTGTCAACACGTATTAGTGATATCTCCGTTAGCCGGAACAATTGGTGCAGAGCACTTCCGGTAATGAGAGATTTCAGGGTAACGAAACGACTCTCGCAAAACCTCCAAAAATCCCTCATCCCCGGAATTTTGCAGGAAATGGAAGAATATTCTCGGAAGTTCCAGAAATTGTACATTACATTATCTCTCAAACCTGGAAAATTATCCCCCATCTCCCGAATTTTCCAGGTACATGGTACTTGAAAAATTTTCTCAGCTTTTCCGGAAAATGCCCCTGATTTTCATCTCTCAAACCCGGAATAAAAATCCCCCATCCCCAGAATTTTCCAGAACTTTCTGTAATTTTCCTGGTACCAGGAAAATGTATCAGAATTTTCCAGAAAGTGCGCCCCACGGAAAATCATTCCCAGAGCCGTAATTTTCTGAAAATTCCAGCTTTGGGAACGATTTTCCGAGAAAATTTCAATTTCGGCTATCAGAGAGTTCCGGGTTTGAGGGATTCCGGCTAACATATATATTACTTTATTCATCAACTCATTTAAGCAATATTAGTTTATAACCTGCTCCAGATTTTTTAATTACAAAATCTGAAATGAAAGGAAAAACTATGGACTTTGGATCCAATTTGGTAATCCATCTTTTATTTTTATCCCTTTCTTTTATTGTTTTATTTTCCAGAGCTCCAACCATCATCGGTTACATGCCATTTGAAGTTTTGGGAACCTCTGGGTACGACTACTATCATGTTGATGACTTAGAAAAGATTGCAGCGTGTCATGAACAGTGTAAGTTACAGTGCCAGACTACAACAGGCCCAGTACAGTTATGGAAACACATATCTACAGTGAAACACCTATTTAACAGATTATATGGAGACAAAAGACCATTATATCAAAGTGTCCAGTTGATATGAGGCCTCCATGTAATGAACTATATCGAGATGAAAGTTCATAATATTGAGGGTCCATTAGATGTAAAATCCCCATCTAACAGATTACATGGAGAGAAAAGTAAGTTACATGGAGGTTTCACTGTATCTATTTGTTTATATACTATAGGTGCTCCTCTACATCCCAGGGGCTTGTTCATAAGTCCAACTTTACTCTTGTAGATACTGAACATATTGTAAAAGAGGAAAAAGTCAAGGATGTACAGTAATAAAAGCAACACATTACTCTACAAAAATAACACGTTGGGCAGTTTAATTCATGTTTCTGAAAGTTTGTAAGTCAAATGATCATAAGTAGAGAAGCGCCTTTATCTGTGCGTTGGTCCCACTCTTGTGTGTGTAGTGGATTAAGGGACACTTAAAGCTCAAAGAGGGGGGGATGAAGTAATGAGAGCAAGTAATATAATACATATACCTTCACATCTCTATATATGGTTGAATTCTACAGTTAGGATCATTTTTCAAAACCAAGTCTAAGAAAGAACTCTATATTTACAGTAATGAAGACGGGTAAAGGAACTTCATGTTATTACCGATTCCTGACTAAAGGACAACAGTGGATCTGGCTACAAACTCAGTATTACATCACTTATCACCAGTGGAACTCCAAGCCTGAGTTCATTGTGTGCACCAACACTGTTGTTAGGTAAGAAGAAGCACTACCTACAGTATTGTCTTTAACTGAGTTTTGGTTTTATTTTATTTTATTTTTAAGGACTGCAGATACTTCACAAATTTGTTGGTTATCAGGGCATTTTTTGATTATAAATGTTTTTCTGATGATTAAAGTTAAATCAGATACAGTATCAATCAATCAGAACACCGTCCTCATATCTAAGGGTTGGCGACCACAGTCCTCCACTCTAAACTTTCTTGGGCTGTTTTTACCAACCCTCGAAGCTTTTGTATCTCTCTGGAGACCCAGTTTTTTATTTAATTTATCCATCCCAGTCTCTACCTTCCCCTGACCCTCCTTCCCTCAACTTTGCCTATTAATATTTCTGTTATTATTCCCCTCATCTCTAATTATATGACCAAAGTATCTTACTTTTATTTTTCTGTACATTTCACGTACTGTATTTCTCTTGAAGTTTTTGCAAATCTTAGTACTTCATTTGTTTTCTTGTCAGTATAACTTATTCTTAATGTTTGCCTATAACACCACATTTCAAAGGCCTCCAACCTCTTCCTGGTGTCTGCTGAAAGTGTCCACACGTCTGACCCATACATCAGTATTTGCCATTTACAGGTAAAACCTTTCAGCAGCCATTTTCTCAAATTGAAAATGTCCCTTTTCAATATAGGATAGGATATGATATTTTAATTTGAAATAAAAAAAAAATTTATTATAATAATTTACAGTAATCTCAACAAGAACACTGGATACAGTACAGTACTTGTGTGTGAGAGGCTCGTTAATAAAGAAAATTAATGAAACTTAGCTGTTTATTTATATATTTCTTTTAACTCAAAACATTTTCCATATTAATACAGGATGGATGAGAGCATATACTGTAATAGATTTTTCCTTAATTTTTAATTATTATTATTATTATTTGTATTACTATTCTGCAATATCTCCATTAGCCGGAATTGAAATTTTCTCGAAAAATCATTCCCAAAGCCGGAATTTTCCGGAAAATTCCGGCTTTGGGAACGATTTTCTGAGGGGGCACATTTTCCGGAAAATTTTGAGAAAATTTTTCCATTACCCGAAAAATTCCGGGGATGAGGGATTTTTTTCCAGCTTTGAGAGTCTTCTCGTTACCCGGAAATCTCTCATTCCCGGAAGTGCTCTGCACCAGTTGTTCTGGCCAACGGAGATATGACTGTAATTATTCTTATTACAGTGTTATTTTTGTTATTATTACTTTTATTATTAAGTTTTTTACCATAAAAGACACACCCTCTTCCTCACTGAAGGAGAGATGCTAACATTCATCTAATACTAAAAGGAAGATGTTTCATACAATCCTATAAATTATCACCATCTCTTCCTCACCTTAACTGTAGTAAGGAGTTTGTGAAGTAATTATCATTTATCATATTCTCAGACACCTTGAATATGATAATAATATAATCAGTGATTGGTGGTGTAACTTCTATGGTAGGTGTTCAACTACTGATGTCCTATCCTGTGCTATCATTCTTCATACAGTCATTCCATCACTCAATAGACGTCATTGATAAAAGTCATGCAGTAGCTCTTGATATTTCTTAAGCATTTGATAAGTTTGGCTTTGATCCTTACTTGTATAATTTCCATCAAGTGGCCTTTATTCTTTATTGAGTTTTATCTCTTCTAATTAAGTGCAGAGTGTGTAGCTTTAGGTGGTCTTCTCATAGTGACAAAAGGCCCAGTTCATTCAGCTTTCTGTAGATCTCTCACTCTGATTGTCCCATACACTCAGGATAAATATTTAGTGTTAGACTACAGATTTCCTCATTTGTAGAAGAAGATCTGTGTATAGCTGAGTGTGGTGCATCCAACATGATTCACTGTGTCACTAATATGCATTATAAGGTGTAACAGTTCACATAGACTTTGAAGCTTGAATATATGTTCACTGTCACACCATACACAAATCATACTCAATAGTGCCATCACCTCCCACCCACTATAGGCAAACAAGAATAGTTTAGAGAGTGAAAGACTTCCCTGTCAGTTTCCCAATTTAAAGAATCTCTGCAGGTTGGGAAATTCAGTGACACTTGGGACTAACTCTAACCAGTAACACTGAAACTCCATCAGTTTTTAACTTCTTTCTTCACATATCTTCATTCTTCAGTAAGGGGGCACCTTGGTGAGTGGATTTAACAGTGACACTTCTGGATCTCTCTATGTAATTTTTACTTTACTACTGTGCAGAAATAATTAAATCATTAACCAATAAATAATTACATTAACTTTTTTTTATGGAATATATGACGTACCATCAGAGTCTTTTTTACAATGAAGGATGACAGGATTAAATCACCTTCAATGTGTGGGTCATTTTTCAATTATAAATCACATTTTTAGGAGTTATTTTCTATATTTTATCTTATTAACACATCAAGAATTATGATTTTTTTCTTCAGTTATAGCGACGTGAAGGTGGAGTTGTCCCAGGAGGTAATTCCCGACAGTTGTCAGTCAGAAATTGAGATCCACCAGCCAGAGGGCAGCATGGTTCTCAACAATGCTGGGGCATCTGTGGCTGGACCCTCAGGACTGGCACTGTTGGCCCCGGTGGGAGAACTGTCACAACAACTTCCCGATGAAAAGCCGGTAATACAGCCTAGCAGAGCACCTCTACCTGGGCCCTCACACCTCCAGCCACAACACCTTCAACAACAACAAACACAACAACAACTACAGGCTGACCAGCAGACACAACAACAACAACAACAACATTCACTTCAGCAAAAGCAGTTACAGCAACAACAAATTCACCACCAACAACAACAGCAGCAGCTACAGTTAGAACAACAACAACAACAACAGCAACAACAACAGCAGCAGCAGCAGCAACAACAACAACAACAACAACAACAACAACAACAACAACAGGAGGAGGAACAGCAACAACAACAACAGGAGGAGCAACAACAACAGCAGCAACAACAACAACAACAACAGCAGCAGCAGCAGCAGCAGCAGCACAACAACAAACAACAACAGCAACAACAAGCAACAACAACAACAACAACAACAACAACAACCAGAGGAGCAACAGCAACAGTCACAACAAGGACTTCACATACGTCATCTAACACTCCAGTCACAATCCTCACAACTCCCTCCTCCTCTTTCACGACCGCCATCAGCCTCCCAGTCACCGAATCCCACACCCCAACAAGTTCTACAACAGCAACAACAACAACAACAATCTCAGCAAATGGTGGGGATACAGGAGGGTACAGTCGTCGAGTTACAGGAGTCCGGGAGCATGGCACAACAACAATCTCAGCAAATGGTGGGGATACAGGAGGGTACAGTCGTCGAGTTACAGGAGTCCGGGAGCATGGTACAACAACGGCCGCTAGAGTCAATATCTCCTAGTAGTCAACACCCTGTCTATAGATCTCCTCAGACGCCTCAGCACCTAGCATCGAGAGGAGAACCGCCGCCCTGGCCGTCTAAAGCACGTTCGGGTAAGTGCCTGTCTCGTTTGGTGCATACCGCGGCCATTAAAGGTTGCTAATTGTAGGTAGTGACCATTTTGTTGAACTATTGCCATGGTATAAAGGATCTTTAGAGAGAAATTCTGTATTTTTAATTTGGTTTTTCATATCTGGAATAATTAAAACAATCATTTACTGCACTTCAACCGTTCTTCTTAAACTCTGTCTTTTATTTATGCATTATACAGTACCTCATTCTTACAAGTTACAACAACAAAAAAAGATTACGTAGATTTTATGTGATGTTAGTTTTATTTTTCTTAAACCCCAGATGATGGAACAGTAGAATCAACTCCGTATATTAAGTTAAAAGTTCCCGCCAAGAGCTGGGCACACTTTAGCAGATCAAGTCCCAGAAAAGGTAAATGATGCATGTAAAGATTTTTTTTTATTTTTGGGGAGGTAGGTCAGGTAACATTAATGAGATGTAGAGAGATTGTGGTATTAAGGGGTCATATCTTGTTTTGTTTTTCTCATTTCCTTTCTAGTTTAGTGTGGTAGTCCCTTAGGCTGTTATTAATGCTCAGTGTATAAGCTGTAATAATACTGTACAGGTATTGGTTAAATTGTTAAGTCCTGATCACAAAATTTTAATTCATGGGGTTTTGTATTTGGTGCAGTGCCTCAAAGCTTATAATTATGAGGGAGGGGGGAGGGGATTAAAGATGTTGAAGGGAAGTTATAGTGTGGGGAACATTATTAGTTTATGATGGAAATTTAGTGGGTGTACTTGACAACTTCTGCATATGATGTATCAGAAAATATTAAAAATGACTATTGATAATTGATAGATTTGGATAAGTCAAGCAATAATTCAAAATTACTACTGTATATGTGCAAAGAGGATAAAAGTAAAAAGTAATTAAAATCTTATTGGCTGTAAATAATTTCTCCCCAGTCCCACTGTTTATATAAGCTTTGTATAAAGATGTGTTTAATGATGAATAAGGGTAGTGTAGTGAAAAGGACTAAAATTCTGTACAGGGGGTCCCCGGGTTATGAACATGTTCCGTTCCTGAGGACGTTCTTAAGTCGGATTTGTACGTAAGTCGGAACACATGCTGTGGGTATATCATATTTACAGAACATGTTTAAAATCCCACTATACCATAGCCTAAATCCTTATACACATATAAAATCACTTAATTTAAGACTAAAGAAGAAATAGAATGACAAAATACAGGTAAATAAAATAGTGTAAATTTCAAGTTTAACCCCATTTGTATCGGCGTTTGTTTGTAAGTCAGGGACCTCCTGTAATGTACTGTAGTTAAATATCTATCATCATCTTTCTGACAGAGTCTAGTCAATATACTGGTGGCAGCAGCTTGAGTGAAGGTGGGTCGAGCAGTAAACGAGCGCGACTGCAGGCAATGCAACAACAGCAGCAACAGCAACAACAAGAGCAGCAGCCGTCACATCTACTAATAGATGATCTTGCTCCTCCTCCTTCTCCGTGTTCCGATGTTTCTGTCACCTCACACGTCTCTCATGGTTCCATACAGCAGGTGAGAAGTTAACCTCTTTTATACAGGCATTTATTGTACAGTATATTAAGTTGACAGGTACTGTATAGAAGTGAGTCTATGTGGATTAATCATTCTGTAGTTTTCACAGAATTTCTAGTTTCATATTATTAGTGGAGGCCAAGGATCTAGTCTTTAAATTTAAACTTTGGCTCAATGACATACAGTACAGAACTGTATACCTAACAGTGGTCATAAACAAAGTACAGACTGGAAAGATTCTCAGTGAAGTACCACAAGGATTCACTCTTTTTGTAATCTTTATTAATGATGTACAAGAAAATATATTGGAGCTATGCAATCAAGTTTACAGACAGTATAAAAACTTATGGGAAAGTGGCACATAAGAAAGGCATTGCATCCATGCAAATTGATTTGCACATTTTTCTTAGTTGGTCAGAGGACTGCCAAGTGCTTTTTTACAGAGCAAAATACCTGTACAGTGATACTTTTCAAGTGGGCAACAATAGCCCAATTTCAACTTTATGACCTTGGATCCTTAATCTGTGCATCAACAAATACCTATGTTGTACTGAGATGTTGGGGAAAATTCATTTTTAGGCCAGAAAAAATTACACGATATGTCTCTTGATTTTTTTTTTTTTAAACTTAATTTGCTAAAAATAGGATTTACAGGTCGTCCTCGACATATTGTACTGTGTATCCTAATACTCCCATCTTGTACTGTACTGTATACTGTATCCTAAGACTCCTATCTTATACTGTACTGTATATCTTATGACTCCCATCTTATACTGTACTGTATTGTACTGTATCTAAGACTCCCATCTTATACTGTACTGTATTGTACTGTACTGTACTGTACTGTACTGTACTGTACTGTAGTGTAGTGTAGTATATATTCTAAGACTTATTGAATTTCCTGGCAACTTAAAATAAGACAAAGAACCTCGGCATTGTGGCAGACCAATCACCATAGCAACACAGCAGATGAGAGCCAACTAGTCTGGGAATCATTAATTGTATAGTAAAATGTAAAGATCAGAAAATTTTCATCCCTGTAAAGACATAACATCACTAGGAAAAGTGAAACACAGGGCAACTAGGATTAGTACAGTGTTCCTGAAATATGACATCTCAATTATCCAACTAGACTGAGGCCACAGCCTTGGGACCACCAACCCATCAAACAGTACAGTACATGGCAAGATGGACTTCATAGTGACATTCAAAACATAAATTTGTTTCTCTTCTTAAAAGCATCATAGGTCTTTAAATAGTCCAGGAAAAGACTATCAAGAACAAGAGGCCAATACCTACCATGCCCTGACTTTACCACCACTGGTTATAATGGTCGTTACGTAGATAAATCTGTACAGTATTATCAGTCAAGGCCTTGGAATAAGTCTTCAAATGTATATTACTAGTTAAAACCTCATAACTTGTGATGGAAACTGATTTTAGTTGAAATGTGATTTTTTCCACAATACAGTACAGGTACCTATGAATTTCCACCGAACGTAAACATCTCATGCTAAGGAGTATGTTAGTGAAATATATATTTTAACAGTTAAAAATAAGAAAAATAAAATCATTGTTTTATGCTTATACAATTTATTATCTTCTTCACATTTTGAAGGGGAGTTTATGTCAGCTGTCACTTCTGCTAATTTAATTCCTGTTGACACTAAAGGCACTTCATTTCAATAGATGTACCCACAACTACTTTACTTGTGAATATCTCATCAAAATATGGCCACAGGGAATTGAATTTGTCCATGTTACTGAACATACAAATTACAAAATAAACTCTGTATCTCTTCATTCTGGGGTTGTACATTGACTGGGGCTACACATAGAAAAGTAAACCAGACGTGGAGCAGAAATTTGGTGGGAAGAGGCGCTTTGTGTTAGCTCGAAATACAGCTTGTGCTCAATGCTGAGTTCTGATTGGCTGGAGACATCACATGTTCACTGAGTTCTGACTGCTTGGGAAAACACCACACACTCACTGCTGAGATGCCAAGAATAAAGTAGTGAGGTACTGAAACGCTCAAAACAAATGAAGTCACTAATACTGTACTGATAACTGTCTGGAATGTTACTCAAGCAAAATATTGAAAAGAAAGCTTTTTTCAAGTAATTTATTTATTGAAAAAAGTTGTTTGGACTTTGGAAGGAAGTAACTGTACTGTACATTATTATCATCCGCCTCTGCTGCCAGGTATAGTAGAGGTGCGGCTGACGAACTTGTACTTTAATGTGTTAGGAAGGTGGTATTTATCTGTACAGTAAAACCTCTATTTAATGGACTACTATATGAAAAGGAAATTATCTTATATCAAGGATCCATTAGATGTGAAAATTCCATCAAATGAACTACTGTACAGTACAATATATAGGGATGAAACTCCATTATATTGAGGGTCTGTTACATGTTAAACCCCCATCTGATACATTTTATGGAGAGAAAAGATAGATTATATGGAGGTTTCACTGTAGAGTGAATAGTGTTTTCTGAATATAGAACATGTCAGTCAATACTTATAAGGTTTTAGTTAAACAGAAAGCATATCTAAAAAAAAGAAATAATGGTTTAATTAATAAAAACAATTACTTTAGCAAATTAATGATGATATAAATTTATGTATTTATTTGTATTTATTTTTTTCAGGATAGTAAGATACACTATGGTTCAAATTCTGGTAATAAAGAAAGATTCTACCGAAAAATAGAGCTTCCTCCTGAGATGTCCCGGTCATTGTCATCGTCGCGGCTCTCAGGGTCCTTTGAGGAGGACAAAAAGGAGGACCAGTTACTTCACATGATGGTTATGTCACCCTCAGGCAGTGCCAGTTCACATAACTCAGGTAAGGTAGCTGCTCATAACCTAAGGTTTAAATACTGGCCTGTAGTTTGAACAATTGAAAATTTGAAAAAAATTTAGTTATGTTGTGTAGTACCACATTTTTGGGGGGGCTGCAAATAAGTAAAGTTTTCTGTAGAGGTGCTACTGATGAATGTTATCTATATACAGTACTCCCTCGCTCAAATGAAGGATTCATTCCTAAAAAATAGTGTTCTAGCCACAATAGCATATGGGCCTAGACATATATTATATTGGGTAAGAGTAGCGAAACCCAATTGTAGTTTCTGCTTTTATTAAAAAAAGTATTGTTTATATAATTCCTGAGTGTAGATCAACCGTAACTTCCACTATCTATGAGTGTGAAGAGAGAGGACGGCGGCTATGTAAATAGACTGTTTAATCATGTCCTTTTTGATGTAAGGTTATGAGTGTGACTGCTATGAGAAGTGACCCATCGAGGGAGAACGGAATAGGCATGTCGTCCTCCCTCGAGGGAAGACTGAGCCATCCACGACGGCTCGCAAATAACGTCTTCCTCTAGTCAAGGATATAAAACTACTGCCCGCTTTAGGTGGCCAGAGAGTCAGCTACTTAATGCCTTAACTCAGCATAATATGACGCAGCTTCCCGTGGACACACCTTATCACGTGCACTGAACATGTCACCTCATAGCTAGCGGAAAGTTACAGGGGGTGAATCAGTATATAAATCAAATGTAATTGACCCATTTATATAATTCTTCTGTTTATGAAACATGGACCATTACATCAGCATTCAAAGCGGACCTCACTTAACATGGTACAAAGGGGAATCTGTTCCCAACCCGGTCCCAAGATCCCAATACCATACCAAACTATTCTAAAATATTGTGCTAAGATTGTCTGTTTCACTGCATGCTGTTTCTCCTTGTAGGTAGCCAAGGCAGATGTTAATGTCCTCCCAAACTTGAAATTTTGCTCCAGGTTTGGATCCCTTATCGGCTGCTGCCTGGGCCAGTGGATCAGTAATTGTGAAAAAGGTGGCCAGTTTCTTGGTAGTCAGCTTATGTGGTTCCACAGCAATTTCTTCCTCTTTTACTTCCTGCTCCTTCTGCATTGTCACATACAGCAAATCCTCAACAGACATTTCTTCTCTATGGGATTTTAGAAACTCCACCTTGTCTTCCTCTAACCCAACATTTCAGCCTAGGGTGACTAATCCTGCCACTTCTGTTCTGAGGGCAGGTTCACATAACCTGAGAAACCATGAACACATTTCTTCCACAGAACCCTCCACACTCCATTCACGGTGGCTTGCACTTTTGATGTTATTTATTGCATGGGGGATGTTATACTAGCACCAGAAGTTTTGAATACCTGTAGTTGGATTGTTGGCTCTTATCAGTAGCTGGGAGTGATCACTGCAGATAATACATTTTGAATGTGGCTGTGATGCCCTGATCCATGAGTTGGATTAAGAAGGTGGTATTGGGTGGTAAAAACAACACTTTATCATTGGGATGAAGGTCATTCAAGTGCACTGGTGTCCTGGGGCATTATCAAGGATGATTAACACCTTGAAAGCGATATTAGCATTTTTAGTATCGCTCCACATCAACACAAAAACAAATCATAAACCATATCCTATTGGCTCATCAGTGAACTGGTGGGGTAAACATAAGAATGGAGGAAACTGCAGCGGGCCTATTGACAGTCCAATTTACACCCAACCCCTACTGCTCATATATCCATCCAACCTATGTTTGAAGCTATCCAGCGTATTCGAGTTAATGATGATATTTGGTAACTCATCCACTACTCTATTTCCAAACCAATGTTTACCTATTTCGCGCCTAAATCTAAATTTGTCTAATTTAAAACCATTGTTACGAGTTCGCTCCTGGTTGGATAGTTTGAGTACCTTTGTAATGTCCCCTTTGTTCTGAGAATGGTAAACTAGTAATGGTTTACATTTGTAGTCACCTTCTGCATTCCCACACAGAAGTGTCAGCCTATCCTTTGCTGCCTTGAACCCTGAAGCAGTTTTGCTTTCCTTGGAAATGTATGTTCTGTTTGGTATACACTTCCAAAACTAACCTGTTTCATCAGCATTGAACACCTACTGAGGTTTGAATTCTTCTACTTCTACAATAGTCTTTAGTTTATGGATAAACCTCAATGCAGAATCACTGTTGGTACTGGCAGCCTCACCTGAGTTTGATGTTGTGTAGATCCTCATGCTTCCTGAACTTATCAAACCAGCCTTTGCTTGCAAGGAAAGACTCTGAATTGATGATGCATCTTCTTTTGTTGGAGTTGTTTGTACAACCCCAATGCCTCAGCACAGATAATCATAGAGATGACTGGTATCATCCTCTGATTTTGTTCTTTCACCCATATTACAAACATTTTACTGGTCTTCTCAATTAAGAATTCCTTAATCTTGATGTTATTTTTGCTGATGGAGAAATTGATTGTGAGACAGATTCTTTATTTTTGTATGTAATACTCTGAATGGTCTGTACACTTGACTCGAAATGCTCAATTAACCACAGTCAGGCCATCTCCACTCTCAAGTTATTGAAGCACCTCTTAACTTCTTAATGGGAGGGAGGAAGGCTCTTCTGATGATGAACCACTTGTAGGAAGTTTTTAGGACACCATAATCCAAAAAAGTATTGTACAGGTACTGTATGAGGAGTAGAAATAACACGACAACTTCTCTCGTAAACACCACACGTGAACTGGAGTTACTGGGCTGCTTGGGCCTGCACGTGGCTTGTTTTTGACGAGTCCCCATGATACAGTCCTCCCAAGATGGTGTGTGCAGCGTGCAATTTGAATTGTGGCAATCACTTTGTTTTTGCTAAACCATTTAACTCTGAACTGCACTGTTTATATCGTATAGAACTTTTGGTGTTAAAAATAAATTGTTCAATTTCGAATTCGTTTATAATGAAGTTGTTTTAAGCAAAGGAGTACTGTACAATAATGATGTACTGTATTCAAAACAATAATGCTGCATGTAAATATTCAAATTTTGTTGTTCATGTGTGTGTGTGTGTGTGTGAGAGAGAGAGAGAGAGAGAGAGAGAGAGAGAGAGAGAGAGAGAGAGAGATATGCAAGCTGTAAATTACATGTCAGGTTTTAGGCATTCAGGACAGTGTTAAAGTAATGAGTTGTATATTTAGTGGAGAGTTTTAAAGTCTGTCGTAAATGAACATTCTTTGCTTGTGAGAGGTGAGTGCAGCAGCTAAGTTAATACTTAGCTTGCCTCCTGCCCAAGGGTTACTTGTTTGCACCAGATACACCTTAAGTCTACCCAGCTGTAAAAGTAAAGGCAGTTGAGTACAGTACCATCCACACAGTCCCTTAAGGTCTGATGGCTTACGCTCGTATTAAACAACATCTCCCCTTGAAGAGGGTCATCGTGTTCAACCCGAGTTTTAATCTACTGAAAATGAGTCCTGAGGGACACCGCAGTACAGTACTTAACGGGGTGGTGTGGCGGTAAAATTAACCAATCCCAATAAAATTAATTTACAATATTGGAATTAGTTAATTTTACCACCACACCACCTCGTTAAGTACTGTACTGCGGTGTCCCTCAAGACTCATTTAGTTTAAAACTCGGGTTGAAACACGATGACCTCTTCAAGGGAAGATGTTGTTTTTAATAATACAGTCGTCAGTCTTTAGTGTGATGTATATGAATTACCTCTAACAGGCTGTCAACGTATGGGACCCACTGTCACAAAACATATGATGTGTTTGCAAGACAAGATCACAAGTAATATAAGTTAAATTTCTGATGGTGGGTTATGATAGTGCTCTACAGTTCATGTATCATTGCAGGTGGTGGTTTTGGAGTAGAACAACAGTACCTTGGTAATAGTGGTGGGACGCAGAACGTAGCACTGGCAGCAGGAACAGGAGCAACCACAGCAGCGGTGGGTGGTACAGCAGCTCAGGTGGTGCAGGTAGCCGCTGTGCCCTTCTCACCTGTCATTCCCATCAACCCCGTGGTGACAAACCTTTCTGTTCAGCTGCCAGCTACACCCACAACAGAGGTGATAATGTACTAGCAGTTGTGGTATTACAATAATTAAAAAAAACTTTTACAAGAAGCGAACTTGTTAAAGATTTTCTTGAGATCTTTAATGAACGTGAAATGGTGCATACCTCTGATGTGCAAGTGTTTATCTTGCAGAAGGGGTGTTGTGATCAGATCTCCTGTTGTATATGACAGTAGTTATAGTTTTGTTTATTGCACATCAATACTGTATATGTGTCATATTTAAGGTAATTTTTATCTAGAATATTCTGAAGTTTTATGTAAACAAGGGTTTACTAAGCTCAATTATTAACTCTGATAGTCAATTCTGTAGCATCATGCTTACCTCCAAGGCAAATCATCAGCTTTTTATTTCTGAAAATCTGTCTTTGGTAAAATGACGTGTTGGGAGGTATGCATGTAACTCTTCTTTGAATACAGGACATTACTATGGTTGGTATGACCAGTTAGATAGATAGATAGATGTTTAGTGATGGTTAAATTACTTTTAATAAGGAGAGGAAATATGTTTAGGCATTTTGTTGAACCAAACTTAAGATATATTTACAACATATCCCTGAATTTTGGCAGGGTCTTCGGCAGTCTTTGATACTGAGCCCCAATCAGAGACAACTTCAAGAACAACTACGGAGAAAACACGCAGAGCTACAGCAACAGATTTTAAGACAGCAAGAAGAATTACGGCAAGTTAACGACCAGCTCATTATGGCTCAGTATGGCAGTTTAAGTATACAACAAGTTTATAAGGTAAGATTGTGTAATACTTTACACTCATGTTTAAATATAAAGAAATGTAATGTTGGTAAAGTACAACTCACAAGATCTATTATTCCTGCCTAAGATTTGACAAAGTTTTTAATGGGTACAGATGTAGGTATAAGATGCATGATAAGGGTGTATAGTATCACCATTTTTATAGCATTACATTTATGTGTTAAGACTGGGAATGGTTTGCAGTTGAAATGTTTGTCAAAGCCAAGTCTCTAAGATTGTACGTTAAGAATGTTGTTTTGGGAAAGTTTTAAACAGTGATGAAGGAATTTAGAATAGAGTAAGATAACACAAAATATATGCAGTTTAAAGTAAGACCTCATTTGAAAGAGTGATTGGTATATAAAGTATCATTTTATCGACTGCAGATGTAGAAATGACAAACATTAAAATATTTAGTAGTAATCTATACTTGCTGTAAGTTTAATGAAAACAAGTAACACCCAGTATGGCCAGGATTGAGAAAGTGTGCAATCCATTGTGTTGTACTGTATGTGAGTAAGCCTTCAACATGTAAAAGCTGAATGTATTTTTCTGTGAATATACTATACTTACCAGGGTGTCTCAAAAAATGTATACACACTGCCTCACAGATTTTTTTGGTGAAAGCATGAATGTTTGCATTACAACAGCAACATTGTCTTCATTTATTGATGTTTTAGGGACCCCACAAATCAACAAGTGAGGATAAGGTTGCTGTTGTAATGGGAACCTTCATGCTTTTACCACAAAAATCTGTGAGGCGGTGTGTATACAATTATGTTGAGACACCCTGCATAAGTATCATAGTTAAAAGTACTTATTCTTACCATACAGCTGGTAAGGTTGTAGTGCTATAAATAAGCATTTCCTTAAGTTTCCTGTGTAACAAGATGTTTGCTTTGTTTTAGGGTGGACTGCAATACACCACGACGAGCTCAGTGGGCACGACCAGTGGGTTCCAGGGTGGTATAGCAATAGGGTCTGGTGTAGGGGGAGTATTGGGCATGGGGACTGGGAGCATTCCAGTGTCTGCAGCACTTCATCCAGGTGGTGGGACAGTTACGCTGGCCACTGGCACTCTGGCGGGGGCAACTTCATCGATTGTTCAACCAGTAGCCATGACATCACCAACCTCACTTCAGTCACCTACAATCACTGTATCCACTTTGAATCCTGCACAAGTGAGTCTGATGACAACAGTTGTTTGTGTTGGCTATTATTAACCTTATTGTGTACAGTTCTGCTGTAGTTCTACTCTTAAAAATAGCAAGCAAATCCTTTAGGGGTCAGGTTAGGGGTTTAAATTTGGCATAAATTTATTTAATATTTTTTTTTAATGTACTGTACTTATGTGTATCTGTGTGTGTGTATAAAGACATTTATAGTGAGTACAACTCTATGGACCTAAAAATTAATGTCATATTACCTTTGAGCCAATGGACATGATGGGGTACTAAATCTGAGAAGTGTAAGGAGGATGTTGTCACAACATTTAGCTTGGTCATGTCCATGGTTTTGTAGGCGTGCGGCTTGCGTGCTGTGTGGATCACCGATAACTTGAGCTTACAGGTACCGGAGGCATTGGTGGTAAACAGGACGGTGATGCGTTCCTTCTGCACCTTCCGGCCCCGAATCCTGCTGGCATTCTTTACAATGAAGGACTTGGAAGGTAGCTTTTTCCAGAAAAGACCAGATTCGTCCATGTTAAACACCTGGTCGTCACTGTACTGTCCTTCCTCCATAATCTCACGTAAAAACGGAGGAAATTCCCTAGCCGCAGCACGGTCAGCACTCGCTTCTTCACCACCAATGTTTATATTGGTGATCTTGTTCCGGATCTTAAACCTCTGTAACCACCCAGAGGAAGCATTAAAGGGTTTGGGCTCTGTAGTTCCCATCTTTCGTGCCACTGCGATGTACAGTTCACGTGCGTAGTCCTTAACAGAGCGCGTGTCGACCGCCATGTTCCGTCGCGCCTGACGCACCAAGTACCTCACAAGTAATTTTTCTGTCTTGAGAAGCACCTGGTTGTGAAAATACTTGATCATAGAAGCACCTGTAGACTTTGTGATCTTCATGTGCTCCTTTATCTTGGCTGCATCCTTCTTTATTGTTCGAATCGTAGATTCATTCACACCATGCTGGCGTGCCAAATCAACCTGCCTTGTTCCTTTCTCCAACTCTTGGATGATGGTATACTTCACCTCGTAGCTTAAGGAACGTCGTGTCTTCTTTGGCTTAGTGCCGCTGGGTCCAGGTAAGGAAAGGTTTCTCCCTGGGGGTGGTGGTCCGGCGGAAGCCATTTTACGGAACAATGGATGCGCGTTTACACGGTGTGGCCTTGAGGGATGAAACTGCCGCGGCTAGGTCAAGCATCGTCTCTCCTCCCTCCCCGGGGTGGTCACGTCATAATACTTTAAGCCAATTACAGCTAGCAGCAGAGGAGGGTAGGGATGCATGGCCAATCACAGTCCGATACGTCATATGACGTCAGTGATAACGCAACAAAGACACACACTGCGCAACCTTACCGCGCCGCTTGCCCAAGCGGAGGGAGGAGGAGGGAGAGGCGAGGAGCACAGGCAGGCAGGCGGGCGGGTGGCGGGTGGGGCGAATCTAAAAATAGCGTCGCGCCGGACACTCTCCGCGTAATGTGAGCACGCTAGGTTCTGGCAAGGCACCGCCAGAACGTGGAAACGCGGAATGCGGGACCGCCAAAGTGAGGGTTAACTGTATGTATATATATATATATATATATATACAGTGACCTCTCCGTTAACGAACTCAATCCGTTCCAGAAGGTCGCTCGTTAACCGAAAAGTTCGTTAATGAAACCATTGTTTCAATGGGTTGTTGGGTAATTGGTTCCAGCTCACCTAAAAATTTCCTAAATTCAACAAAAATGGTAGAAAAGTTCACTTACTTTGAGGTGTGTATGTAGAAGGCCCTGGATGATGATGATGATGGATTTAGAATGGGGGTGGAGGAGAAGGAAGAAGAGAAGGCATTGGGGTGGAAGAGAAGTCACCCCATGGCCCATTTCACCCATAAAATTTTAGCTCTCTTGTAATTCAAGATTATTTTCTTTAAATCAACACTGCACTGCATTATATATTGTCAATATGTAAAATATATTTCAAAATGACCAATAATTTGCTTGGAAACACAGAAAAGCGTTTAGTTGAAGAGAGTCTCAAGCAAGATGTTACCTCCAGTGAAAACAGAGAGAGACAGTAACTCCTGTTTGCTGTGTTAAGAGGCTGGATGTCAGCATTAAACTAGTCACTTTACTCAATTATGTTCAATAATTGTTAAAATGACTAAAATTGAATATTAAACTTTAAAATTATTGAATAGTATAAAACTTGATATTTACTAAAATAGTAAGGAATTTAAGCCCTAGATCCATTAATGTATTGGGGACTGATACTAAAAGCTGGTTGCCTCGGTCAGTGCAAGCTAAAACATGTTGAGGTCGGTTACGTAAGAACTTCGTTAATCAATTTTTTCAGTTAACGGAATTGAAGATCCTTATGGAAGGCAGTTCGTTAAGAAATTACGTTAACCGGGTGTTCAAGTAAAACCAGGTCACTGTATATATATATATATATATATATATATATATATATATATATATATATATATATATATATATATATATATATATATATATATATATATATATATATATATATATATATATATATATATATATATATATATATATATATATATATATATATATATAATATATATATATATATATATATATATATATATATATATATATATATATATATATATATTATATATATATATTAATATAATAATATAATATATATATATATAATAATAATAATATATATATATATATATATATATATATATATATATATATATATATATATATATATATTGACAACCCTTGTCCGAAATTTCGAAAACCGAAAGGTTTTGGGGGCAATTTTTTTTTTTAAACAGGATTAGCCCACCCGGGCATAGATCACTGACCACAATGGGCCTGGGGGCGAAAATGTAATAGTAATAATAATTATAATAATAATTATTCATAGTAAATAAAAATGTTAATAAAAATGCACCAAATAAAATAATAAATAATAATAATAACAATAATACTGTAATAATAAAATAATAATAAAGAAATACAACAATGAAAAACATCAAAAGTGAGAAACATGACCTAGACCTATATTATTATTATTATTATTATTATTATAATTATTATTATTCTATTCCCCCCAGGCCCCAATGTGGGTCAGTGACTTGTGCCCGGATAGGCTAAAAAAAAAAAAAAAATTATGAAAACGAAAAATTCGAAAACGGAAAATGCTTCTGGCCCCAAGGATTTCGGATAAGGGATTGTCAACCTGTGTGTGTGTGTGTGTGTGTGTGTGTGTGTGTGTGTGTGTGTGTGTGTGTGTGTGTGTGTGTGTGTAATAATAATAATAATAATAATAATAATAATTAACGGTTTATTGAAAAGTTCTGCAGCCCAAGGCTGAAAATATACATTGGACATAAAATGACATTATACATACATTGGTGGTTTAACAAAAGCCTTCATTAGAGAAAGGTAAAGGAACATACAGTGAACATTCAGATTAATGTAGGTGTTGAAACAGCAAAACGTAGTAGTAACTCCCTCCCAGATGGTATTAGGAGGACCCTACGTGGTGTAGTAGTTCCTCACAGATGGTGTTATGAGGGCCCTACGTGGTGTAGTAATTCCCTCACAGATGGTGTTATGAGGGGCCTCACGTGGTGTAGTAATTCCCCAGATGCTATGAGGGGCCCCACGTGGTGTAGTAATTCCCCACAGATGGTTGATGAGGGGCCTCACGTGGTGTAGTAATTCCCCACAGATGGTGTTATGAGGGGCCTCACGGGGTGTAGTAATTCCCTCACAGATGGTGTTATGAGGGGCTCACGTGTGTAGTAATTCTCACAGATGGTGTTATGAGGGGCCTCACGTGGTGTAGTAATTCCTCACAGGTGGTGTGTTATGAGGGCCTCACGTGGTGTAGTAACTCCTTCACATATGGTGTTATGAGGGCCTCACGTGGTGTAGCAGTTCCTCACAGACGGTGTTCTATATGGTGGGTGTGGTCCCAGGCCTTCCTATCGAGACGGATAAACACATCGCTGGCTGTTGGGTCGGGCCGTTATCACTGGGTACCTGGGACCTCACTGTGAAGGTCAACATGGGTACCACTGTTACTGTTGAGTTGTTCTCACTGACTTAAGCACTGTTCACCACTGTTCACCTCTGTTTAACACTGGTTCCCTTCCTTTTCCCAATGAAATAGTAACTTCTGGCAGAACATGTTGATATTCCGGTGGGGAGGAGGTTCAGGGAGGGGGTTGGTATGGGCCAACATAACAGTTGACCTGGCTGCTCTGAGAGGAGCCAGGTAACGCCTTGGACCTTCTCGTGGTCAAGGATGTGTGTGTGTGTGTGTGTGTGTGTGTGTGTGTGTGTGTGTGTGTGTGTGTGTGTGTGTGTGTGTGTGTGCGTGCGTGCGTGCGTGTGTGCGTGTGTGCGTGCGTAAGGCGTGCGTGCGTAAGTAATAATAATAATAATTAACGGTTTATTGAAAAAGTTCTGCAGCCAGAAGGCTGAAAATATACATTGGGCATAAATGACTTATTACATACATTGGTGGTTTAACAAAAGCCTTCATTAGAGAAAGGTAAAGGAACATACAGTGAACATACAGATTAATGTAGGTGTTGAACAGCAAACTCGTAGTGTAATAACTCCCTCCCAGATGGTGTTAGGAGGAACTCACGTGGTGTAGTAGTTCCCTCAGATGTTGTTATGAGGGACCTGGCGTGGTGTAGTAATTCCCTCGCAGATGATGTTATGAGGGGCCTCACGTGGTGTAGTAATTCCCTCACAGATGGTGTTGTGGGGCCTCACGTGGTGTAGTAATTCCTCACAGATGTGGTGGTGTTATGAGGCACCTCACGTGGTGGCCCAGTAATTCCCTCACGGAGAATGGTGGTATGAGGGGCCTCACGTGGTGTAGGAATTCCCTCACAGATGGTGTTAAGAGGAGCCTCACGTGGTGTAGTAATTCCCTCACAGATGGTGTTATGAGGGGCCTCACGTGGTGTAGTAATTCCCTCACAGATGGTGTTATGAGGGGCCTCACGTGGT